GACGCGGCCGCCTGCCTGTCCTGCGCCCCCGACAACCGCACCCGCTGCGGCGCCTGCAACGCGGGCTACATGCTGAGCCAGGGCCTGTGCAAGCCCGAGGTGGCCGAGTCCACCGACCACTACATCGGCTTCGAGACGGACCTGCAGGACCTGGAGATGAAGTACCTGCTGCAGAGGACCGACCGGCGCATCGAGGTCCACGCCATCTTCATCAGCAACGACATGCGCCTCAACAGCTGGTTCGACCCCTCCTGGCGCAAGAGGATGCTCCTGACCTTGAAGAGCAACAAGTACAAGTCCAGCCTGGTCCACATGATCCTGGGCCTCTCGCTGCAGATCTGCTTAACGAAAAACAGCACCCTGGAGCCCGTGTTGGCCGTGTACATCAACCCCTTCGGCGGCAGCCACTCCGAGAGCTGGTTCATGCCCATCAGCGAGAACAGCTTCCCCGACTGGGAGCGGACTAGGCTCGACCTGCCCCTGCAGTGTTACAACTGGTCCCTGACCCTGGGCAACAAGTGGAAGACGTTCTTCGAGACGGTGCACATCTACCTGCGGAGCCGCATCAAGTCCAGCGGGCCCAACGGCAACGAGAGCCTGTACTACGAGCCCCTGGAGTTCATCGACCCGGCCCGGAACCTGGGCTACATGAAGATCAACAACATCCAGGTGTTCGGCTATAGCATGCACTTCGACCCCGAGGCCATCCGGGACCTGATCTTGCAGCTGGATTACCCCTACACCCAGGGCTCGCAGGACTCGGCGCTCCTGCAGCTGCTGGAGATCAGGGACCGGGTGAACAAGCTGTCCCCGCCCGGCCAGCGCCGCCTGGACCTCTTCTCGTGCCTGCTCCGCCACAGACTCAAGCTGTCCACCAGCGAGGTGGTGCGGATCCAGGCCGCCCTGCAGGCCTTCAGCGCCCGGCTGCCCAGCTCCGTGGACTACGACACGACCAAACTGTGTAGCTAACCGGTCATCCGTCAAGCACAACCCCGAGACCTTGAAGAAGTTTTTACCGTGCTCTTGTGGAACCGTTTCTGTTTGGAAGAGTTACCATTTCAATTGTCCTTTTCAATATCTTTGTCTTATATCCGTCGGTAGCGTTGGATGGCAATTTCCACCCACACGGGCTCGCTGACCATGCATATGTTATACTGCAGTGTTGGTTGATGAATGAAATAAATACTGACACCCGTCCTGGAAGACATTCTACTTTTTACAATAAATTTCATTTGTAATTTTCTATGTTCCGTGGCAATGCTTTTGTGCATTACACCCTCTAGAGGGGACATACAAAAAGATACCAATAAAATTTTGTAGCTGAACAGTTATTAAAAAGAAGTGCTGTGGGATTCCTTTCTTGCCGTGAAATGAGTTCTAGCCGGGTACGTAGCTGGTTAGAACTTGGGGGACGTTCACCAGGATTTTGGAAATGGGCACATTTGAAGGTCCCTCTCAGTGGCCTGGAGGGAGAATGCTTGGTAAGCAGTTGATATGTTATTACCTGTACTTAGCAACCATTCCGGGAGCCACCGCCGTTGTTATAATACGCAGGTGAACCATTTCCCAGCCAAGGAGCAGAACATTTCGGGAAACATTCAGAAAAATGTGATTGCGAGCACATCGCAGAGAAAGTCAACCGTTAACTTTTTAGCAACCTGCTTAGTCATGCTCTTTCTAAATTCTAATAATCAGTGATCAGTATACTCTGCACAATCATTTTCATTTCATTTACTGGAAACCTAGTTATTCCAGCATTTTATCCATGTCATTTACATAACATCTAGAATTCACAAGTAGTAATGTGTTGGTATAAAATAAATAGTCAAAGAATTGATATAAACTTTTTTTCTCTCTCTGAAACATATTTTTGTTTTTCTGTCTAAAACATATTTTGAAAAGAGAACTCTTTCAACATAAAACTAATTTTAGTTTAAATTTTTGGTTTGAAATTGAAGCTTATCTCCCGTATTACCCACGGTGTGATATTAGATATATAATTAGTATTTTTTCCCTGTGAATTTAAAATGCGTTTTTGTTTAGATATATGAATGTATCTGGCAGGCATGGTTATGATATTTATCACTAAGCTCTCGTCTAAATATTTCATAAGCGTTTCTTATAATTTAAACGAATGCTCCCCCAGCCCAGCTTTCCCGGTGAGGTCATCAGGTCAGTTTTCAGGTCACAAAGGAGCCCGTGACGTGAATGAGACCGATGACAAAAACATCACACAGACATTCTGGATTCTTGAGGTGTTTGTTTTTATTTCCAAGGCACTTTACCAGCAAGTAGACTGTTCCAGCAACACATAGGTATTCAGTTCAATAAGCCAAGCTCTGTGCTTCTGTTGTTTTGGGTCTCTTATAGATAATTCAATAGAAAATATATATATATACAATTCTTAAACATCACCTTTCTGACGTTACATCACGTGTCCCTTCATTTGATTCTAACAACAGCACTAGGTTATGGACTGTTCTTCCCGTTTTCTTGGCGAGGGACAAACAGGCTCAGAGTGGTTTGTCCAGTTCCCCGAGGTCACAAACCGAGAAGTTGAAAGACCAAGGTTCCCACACGGGCTTTTCTGGAAAATTCAGAATTGCCACCAGGATTCTTTCCAGAAGAGCCTTGGTGACCCAGGTCACCACTGGACGCCGAACGGCAGTCATTCCCTGGAACTTGAGGACATTGTCTGCTGCGCTCAGCTCACTCTGCCCTGACCGGTTTACGAGAGAAGATCCGACAGCCACAGGTAAGAAAGCACCTAACCAGGCTTCCATCCTGGGACCTCTTGCGTTGGCACAACAGTCCCACGGGACAGGCTCTAACTATCTGAGTCCCAGCTGCCTCAGTGACACTGTCAGCATGACCTTTCTGACCCAGTCTGCTTTCCCCCTGAAACAGAGAAGAAATATGAAAGCTTTGCTCTGAATGTTGTGTCCGAGGCACCACAAATACAATGTAAGTCAACATACCAAGCAAATCCTAAAGTGCTGTAGAAACGTAAAGGATACATGATCAATGCATGGTTTTTTATTTTTATTCCTCATGTATTACCAGGTATTAAATCATGTCCAATCAGCAATAGACAGTATAATCTAGCTCAGTACAACGTGTCTGTGTCCGGGGGGAAGCATTTTACTTTTCTTGAGCTGGGGTCTATGCAGACAATTTTGCTTTTTATTGCATTAGGAATTTGATAATTTTTTAAATGTTTTTATTGATTTTGGAGAGAGAGGAAGGGAGAGGGAGAGGGAGAGAAACATCGATGGGAGAGAAGCATCGATCAGCCGCCTCCTGCACGCCCCCTGCTGGGACTCGAGCCCGAAACTTGGGCACGTGCCCCGACCGAGCTTGAACCCGAGACCTCTCGGTGCACAGGACCTTGCTCCATCCGCTGGGCCACACCAGCTGGGGCCTGACAAAAATGACTTTACCGTCAAAATCTTATTTAGAGCCAAAGGTTGAGAGACGCATATGTAAAATCATGTTTTTAAAAGACAGGGCATTTGATGGGAGTTATAGAAGATAGGAAGCCAACTGGAAAGAAAGTTGGAGAGCTTTGGAAACCTAGTGGAAAATACAACTTTAAATAATAAACTTGGCTTAAGATTTTAAGCTACGGACAGGTCTCCCAGATCAGTGTGACCATTGACAAACAACATATTAAATAAATCAAGCTGAGAGAAGCTGTGATAACAATCTCATTCTGATTTGGTGCCTGGATCATTTAATTAGAATAATAATCCTTTCACAAAATTGCATTTCCCTCCGGTCATAGATACGGTATTTATAATTTGAAGCCACAGAGTCGCAGATGCTAAGCTGTGGTATTCTTAGGCTATAATAGTATAATTGACTGAATTTTTAAAACCCGAGAGCTGACATTTTGCCACGTCCATTTACTGTCTACTATTCTACCGCTGTTGACACCTCCTTTCCTCCCCTCCACCTACATAATCAGACTTATATTTGTTTCTATCTCCAGGCTTTCCTAGAGATAGAAATGTAAATTGTAATTCAATCACCCCTTAATATTTCAATATTTGGTAAATACATGTCAGCTGGAAAATTTTTTATCTCCATTTCTTTTGCATGAAGGCAGCATCAGCTATTTTAATGAACTATGAATTGCTTATGAATTAGAATATCCATGTCCAATTATTTGATATTGAGGACATGTGGTAAATTAGAACATATAAATGAAACTCAATCGGAAGCAAAAATTCCACAGTTGAAATTATCTCACGTCCTGGCTGGCGGACTAACCGTTTAATGACCAAAGTACCATTTCACTCTATGATTATGCGATGTAACTATCAGATAATAGTGACGCTACGTAATACTTGATTAATTGAGTATCTGTGGAGTTGGATTACCAGGTAATCCTCACCGCAGGTTTCTAACTTGACTCTCCCTCCAACCAGCATTATTATGGGCATAAAACAGTCCGGAAGGGGTCTTCAAAAGTTTGCTAATTAGGGAGCCTTTTTAAAAAACTGGCGAGTCTACTGTGTTGCTGGAAACCCACAATTCATCTTTTTTCTCTAATTTCCCTTGACATTTTTCCAGTCCATTCCCCCACAGTCACCAATGTGAACTTTTAAATTATAAACCTATTAAAATGGAAATGTTACGCATCTCTTTACTGAACAGGGAACTAGCTTTAATTGGCATGTAATTCCTTTCTTAATCCAGCCCTTGGCTATTTCCCTGTCTTCTTCCAAAGTATTTATTTCATACCAAACTAGTATTTAATATTAGACTGGGTGTGTTTTTTAAAAAGGGAAAGAGGGAGGGAAAACATACAACAGGTTTCTACGATTCAATTTACCGCAGTACCACCAGCAGCAAAGTCATTAGTTAAAAACTAAGGCATCTTAATAAAGGAGAGACTTCAGTTAATAATAATGTCACGGTATTTATTAATTGTAACAAAGGCACCACAGTGATATACAATTTTAACCATAGGGGGAACTGGTAGCGGGGCATTAGAGACACTTTCCTATATAGACACTTTCCTAGAGACACTTTCCTATCCGTATAATTTTTCTGAAACTCTACATCTGTTCTAAATAAAAGCTGTTTTAGAATTTATAATCCCTAGGACATTCCAGAAGCTTCTTAGGTACAAATCATTGTCAAGCAAAACCCTCAGCTTTTCAATAACGCCTCCCAGAGGTACTGCAGCTGTCTGCAGTTGGCTCCCTCAAACTCACCCCTTTCCTTAGGTATGAAGCTCCCGGCTCGGTGGCCTTTCCCTCCGTCCCTCGTGGGTAAGTGTGGCCCGGGGCCTAACTTCTCACGGGTGAAACGTGGGTGGGAATCCTGCCGGCAGCTCCCAAGGCCCGCGCTGGAGATGAGCGGGGCCCAGGCCGCCGTCCCTTCCCTCCGCCCTGTGCGCCAAGGCCAGAGCCCAGCTCCCTGCAAGGCCGGGCTTCGAGCTGGAAGGGCCCAGCTGTTCCTAAAGCGAATGCGCTGAGCAGATCCTGCGTCCCCAGCCTACACCGCGACTAAGACAGGACCCGACGCATGTCTTTTTTTTCCCCAGCCGTTCCATTTTAAGTCATTTTAAAATTTCGGTTCAGCTTTCATCTCAGAGGGTGATANGACCCGACGCATGTCTTTTTTTTCCCAGCCGTTCCATTTTAAGTCATTTTAAAATTTCGGTTCAGCTTTCATCTCAGAGGGTGATAACACCCCGGTGCCTCCCGTTTCCCCAGTGCGTCTTCCAATTGAACACGTAACTACGCGAACGCACTTTTACAGCAACGGGCACAACGTGTGCAATTTACAAAATTCACCATTTACAAAGTACAGAAAGGCTTCTTGTGTTTGGTAACTTAACAGGACCCGAATAGTTATTTTTGCAAGAATATTATCCAGAAGTGAAAACCTTCTTACGGCCTAAAACCGTTTTTGCTGCAATGCTTCCGCGGGAGCCTCCGTCAGCTCCGTGCAGGGCAGATGCCAGCTCAGCACAGCGACCGCGGCCTACCTTGTGGTCTTGCCACCGCGCCGGGAGGTGAAAAGCGGGGGGGGGTGCTTGGCTCCCTGTCTCAGAGCCAGCCCCGTAATTCGCGGGGTTCCATGCAAAATGAAGGTGCACGACCTTGCTGAGAGTTTCGAGACGGTGACAGTAGCCCTTTCAGCCAGCCAGGGGCCCTTCTCCGCGTGGGGTCCCCGGGACACGGTAGCTTGTCCTTCCTTGCACTCGGATTTCTTCCTCACTCGCCGGGCTAAAAAATAAAATAAAATAAACGATGTCAGGCCCAGAGATAAAAGCCGTGTGGTTAGAATGACACAGCTCCCCGTTGTCCCTGGACTGA